TAACTTAAGTATCACCGATACATCTGCTTCACAAGTCACAGTAACTTCAATGTCACAGATACACCTGCTTCACAAGTCACAGTAACTTAAGTATCACAGACACACTTGCTTCACAAGTCACAGTTTTTTCAAATCACAAATTCCGATAATATAAACATATCTAATCAAAACAATCATATACCAGGGAGAAATATAATAGTTCACCATTAAATTACCGTCTGCTCTTGTTTTTTACTCTATTGGCTGATTCGAAAGTAAACAGTTCCTCTACCTACCATACTCAGTTTGTGGTTCTAGATGTTTAAATGGAAATTGTACAAAAATCATACAATACAGACTATGTTCATTCGATTCTTTGTTGAACATGTTCATACAGATTGTATTATTAGTATTCAAAATAATCACGGTGACATACTTCATGCCAACAGTATTCAGAATTATCATATGTTTAATTTTATATTCTTGATACCTCTTTGTTTAAACAACGAATCATTATTATTCATTCATCTCATCGCACTAAACGGGTACCATTAAAACTAGATTACAGTACATGATTTTATGTGGAAGAGTGTCATTGCTTTTTCATGCTCACCAACAGTTTATAAATGTTGAAAGTCTTTGGTGTTTTAAATTACATGTAAAGCAAAAAACTCCAAAGTTCACGAAAAATCACCGACAAACACATTTCCTAGACAGTAATTTTAATCTGTTAAGTAGTAGCGTGTAAATATTTTTCGTCAAAAAATATATAGCCAACTATAAAAACAGGAAACCTCAGTATACGGATAACCCAAGTAAGAAGATAAAATTACGATATGACGTCACTTCCGTAGTCCTGTTAAGCTCTTTCCTGGACACATTTTTCTGTGTATGAAGATAAAGGAAGAAGAATGTACGAGTATAGATGTAGATCAGAAAACGAGGCCGTAAAGCAGTTTTCTAATTTCACAAGATTTTATCTACAAATTAAATGTGAAAGAGCTTACCGTTTGTTTTGAATTCCGCTAGCCATCCCTAATTTAGCAGTGTAAGGCTAGAGGGAAGGCAGCTAGCTAGTCATCACCACCCACCGCCAACTCTTTTACCAACGAATAGTGGGATTGACCGTCACATTATAATGCCCCCATGGCTGAAAGGGCGAGCACGTTTGGTGTGACGGGGATTCGAACCCGCGACCCGCAGATTGCGAGTTGAGCGCCCTAACCACCTGGCCATGCCGGGCCTGAGCTTACCATTAAAGCGTCATAAAGTCTCATTCACCACACTATTTGTTTAAAAAAAGTTATATAATCTAGCCTGCCACTTCAATAAACATTTTACATAACACATTGTTTTAAAATTTTTATCACTGCATGAAAAAATGCCATCTTACAAGGAGCGAACGTATTATTACTACTACTACTAATGATTTACTGGAGAAATATGAGAGGCTTACTGAGATATGAAAACTGTTCATAATTTTGTTTTTTGCTAAGACACAAAACGAAATAACTTTGACACTGAAATACTGATTTTTAAATTGCTTTTTTGCTAAACAAAAAAAAAGGCTTTACATTTAATCTCTACTGTCAAGGACTGATTTTTTTCATAGAAGTTCTAGTGAAGAAACAAAAATTATTCCAAGCCTATTTCCAGGTATTATCCTAATACTATAAAACAAACTTTGTAAAAAAAATAATATTAATAATAATACATAACTTCAACTAGTGACTTTTTGAGGTCAAGTTTACTCTTAGCAACATTAAACATGCATTTTTTTAAAAATATGATTTAACTTTATGTGACTTCATCAACGGAGGGGGAACCTATGCAAGAGGAAATCCTACATGGTTTCACCACATTTTCTATAGGAGACACAATTCTTTAAGGTAGAATGTGTGATACATATCCATAACCAAACATTTCCTTCAATATTTTCTGTTTTAGCAGGAAATTGAGTAATTTTCCATCTCAATTGTGACACAATTTTCTTTAGCAACCAGCAGTATATTTTCTTATAATATTTCACATAAAACAATTTCTTGTGGTGAATAAAGGTCTTCATAGGTCTGGAAATAATGTGTCCCATAAAGTTAAAATAACTTCTGCTAACAACGTTTGATGAAAACAAGCCCAGGCAATTCCAGAAGTAGTAAATGTTACATATGTAATAACATTTTTGATTTCTGAATTTCCACAGCTAACAATTTAGATACATTTCACAACATGTAGTTTTCTGATATCTCCAGACCCTGTTAAAAACTAGTTCCTTAAAACCTGTCTAAATTCAACTTTAAAACAAGGGACTTTTTCTTTTTTTTAGAAAGTCCTTTTCCTTATCACAAGTGTACTATAAATAGATTCAGACACTTGTTAAGAATATCATCTCTCTCATCCAGCAAGTACTCTTGGAGATATTTGCAGTTTTCATTCATCTGTTCCTTTTAGAAAGTACTGATCTGGAAGATTTGTGACAATCCCTTTTTCGTTTCAGCCGTTGAACACTTTGCCTGATCATGCTTCAAATTGGGAGCAAAAAACAAATATCAGTGTATTTCTTGAGCTATTTCTCAGTGCATTGCAAGATTCTAGTTACTTTTCATAGGGTTTAAAGAAAAAGACACCAAAGAACATGCCACAAGAATATTTATCAGATATGGAGCTGGAGAGTGAAAAAAAGTTACTGTTAAAGAAATGCAGGATCTATGTGTGCATGTCTTTATTTTCTAAAAGACTCAAAACAACTCAAACACACACCAAGAGATGCAAAAAAGTTTCTGGCTCTAAATTTCATGTATAGTGTAAAAAGTATATGAAAAACACTTATTTTCAATTTACTAAGAAAGTATATTATCCTTAACCAATTCTGAAGCATTCCTGCCTGAATACTGTCTACATCAATAAATTTTGTAATTTTTTCAGTTTCAGAAAAAAAAAGGAAAAAAAATCACAGAAAAAATCCATTTCCTTCAACTAAATACACTTTAAAAAACATTTTTACAAAGGATGTAACAAGTCTTTGTCTGCTTTAAGTACCATTCATATAGAATACTAAAAAAACAGATATTTACACATTTTGTTAGCATTTTTAGTACACTATACAATTTAACAAAGTATGAATCATATGCTGACCTTGATACATAAAGTACCTAGAAGAGACACAAGCTGATGTGGATTTACACATACAAAATAAACAAATAACTTTACACAAGACACAAGTATGATCAGATAACAAAAATATTTTTGATGTAAAATACTGTTGTGATTTATCTGTTTTGTTCAAGGAACCCCCCTGTTAGTTAAAACCGGGATTTCCACCCAAGGAACAGCTCTTACAAAGTACTTGAAAACTTAAAAAGAGTTCAAATAAACCTAAACTTATACATGAAATATTAATTTAGAATTTTTTTTTTTTTGCTACCTAAAACAGTTTGTTTGTTTGTTCTGTGCTCACCACAGGTATTGAAACCCAGTTTCTAGCATTATACGTCCACTGTGCCACTGGAGTGGGTGGACATTAATGAGAACTAGGGTCATACATAATTCTTTATTCTCATCATAGTATGCTATTAGGAAGATAAGAATGTATGAAACCAAGTTCATTCTACAATGACAGACTATTATTGTAAGATGATAGCTTACAATAGATAAATTGATGAAACTTCTATAACTTTAAATTTTATTGGTGAAGTAATTATGAAACAATTTAACAGTAAAGCAACACATGCTAAATGCCCTGTTTACACTGCACTGATACAATGAAGGGTAGATGCATAACCATCAAGATGTCAATATTCACATGTTTACTTACATTTATTGAAAATCCACTAATGCATTTTATTCTCATGTTTAATAGATACATTTATTATGAAAAATACCAACAATTAGGGATAATTAAGGAATTTATCAGCACAAACATAAGCTCTATGATATAAAAACAAAGCTAACAGTAAAATTTATAACCCAGCATATACACACCATTTAGATATCTTGCTACAAGACAAATGACCTTAATGTAAGTTTAAGCTTGACAACTAGAATTGTTTATAGGATACACATAATTTGCATATCACAACAAGCTTTAAATATTTGTTACGAAACAAAGAATATTCAATGGCTGAATTTTACAAGATCATATACATCACAGATTGCAAATTTACTTTTAAACTGAAAACAAAATATATTAATTTAAAATATTCAAGATTTTGGAATAATCAAATATGTATAAATATAACTCAGCAAAGTCTGCAACATACCATGAAGCAAGTTTATTCATCAGAAATTATACATGAATGGAAAAAAAAATTTGAAAACCAAAATTACCTTTATCTATACATTAGATTTTTTTCTAAATTTTGAAATACTTTGAGAAAAATGTATAATTTATGCCCATGTTACCTTAATTGACCTCTTACAGGGGGAGGTACATGTTTGACTGAAGCAGAATGACTAATACTGGTGGGCTCCTTTCCATCTTCATCAGGAAAAGTTTTCTGACTTTCTTTGTTTTCTACATCACAATCTGTCTGTTTCTCTGCACCCTTGATCTTTTCACCCTTCACACCGAAGCTTTCTTTTTTCATATCATTATAATTTATTATTTTTTTGGAATGTTCATCTATTTTCACAGCTGTTTTTCCATCTGTTTCTTGAAAATCACTAGCATTCAAATAATCTGAAAGATCAAAAATAGCAAATTTATCTATATAACACTTCTAAAATTAGTAAAGTTTACAGAGCACAGCAACTCTAACAACTGCCAAGTTAAATCTTCAGACTCTATTTTATAGTACGAGGAATCTATAAATCATAACATAAACAACAAATATTTTTTTGAAGATTTGTTACTTATGCTAAGATAATTAATGTATTTGTCATTTTGACCACTATTAGTACATGATCACTTTGGTTAACTCTCTACAAGTGGCCTCTTAATCATCTCTAAATGATCTCTTTAGGTTGGAGCAGTCTAACTTTTTATTGACCGATGAAAAAACAGACAATCAGTAACGAAAACACCCAACAACCAATTTTTATCTACTTCAAAAACAAATCTTACTGTGCCACAAGTATTTAAACTAACAACATAATATTGGAATTTCAACTTAAGAAAATACTAATGGCCTTAATGGGACAATATTATCTGTGGGATGATGGACAACTGGGCTGACCATTACCAGTATATAATTAAACCACTAACTGACTACTTCAGCTACACCACCAATTAAGCTGGTCATTTTATCAGTGATCTAAATATTCAATGAACTATATTCATGTTAAAATATTGCCAATTTGATGAAAAAACAAAAAACACTTTGCGATACTAGTAGTTCTGAAACCTACTGCAGTACAATAACATAAATTTCAGTAGATCCTTATAAAATACACGGAGGTATTTTCTTACCAAAGTTTGATGGAATGTTGTCAAATAAACTAAAACTTTTCTCTTGATCACTAGATTCAGAAATGATGTCTTCTACGGTACAATCATCATCTTGTTGCTCATCAGAATCTGGATGAAACAAGAAATAACTTTAAAAATAGGTCAACATGGGTGACTTTCCTCCCGAGTAACTTACATAATGTTTAAATTCACAGCAAATAAATTCTATGAATGTTGTTAGACAGGAGTGGTATAATGGGTCTTCAATAAAAATAAAACATAAAAAATACCTAGACAGAAAATCGAGTCCTTTCAGTGCCCAAAATAATACTATAATAACAATACATATATAATACTCATATTTATAGACTATGAGTGATCTGCCCATACACTGACAGAAAAACTGTACTGAATTAAGAGAGATTTAATGTTAATAACTTAGTGATTTGCATACAGGATGTTCATCATATGATTTCTCAACTTTATATATTTATATAAGAATGCAGTTGATGTAGTTTACACATAATAATATATATTTCTAACAGTATATTAACTATCTGTGTGTACAAGTCACTTTCTAATTTTTATGTCAGATTTTTACAGTTGCAAGTTATGTAACGGTATTTCCCAAATAGTTGTCACTGTTGCAATAACTATATTAAGTATTATTATTATACAAATATCACTGTTAGTTTTTTTAGGAAAAAATGGTCAAAGTAAATATGCACTCCATCAGCTTTTTAAAAACATTCTTCTAAACTATTTTTGCAATAAACTGATTCAAAATGGACTAAAGTCGATGACTTTGTTGGCTACAGAGTTCCTTAAAACATACAAGTTGCAAAGACTAAATCCCATTAATTACTGCTAAGATCCCTTTCACATCTTACACAGAAGATAAGCAATTTCATACAATATTTTTAATCAGTTCTTCACAGTGGATATCGTGACACAGAAAAAGATAAAATTATTCAACATCAGTATTAACAGTTTTATTCTCACTGGAAACCCGATGAAGGGTTGTTGTCCGAAACATTGTTTTAATTATTTTAATTTGGTGAGTTTTTCACCATTACTATATTTTCTATTTTGTAATTTCCTCACCATGCAATTCTGTTATTACTGGTGTAAAACCGAAGTGTTTACCAATAAAATTATTTTAATTTGGTGAGTTTTTCACCATTACTATATTTTCTATTTTGTAATTTCCTCACCATGCAATTCTGTTATTACTGGTGTAAAACCGAAGTGTTTACCAATAAAATTATTTTAATTTGGTGAGTTTTTCACCATTACTATATTTTCTATTTTGCATTTTGTAATTTCCTCACCATGCAATTCTGTTATTACTGGTGTAAAACCGAAGAAATTCTGTGGCGAACATTATTAGAAGGGCCATTCTCATATAATTGTTCACTATTTCATCAAATTGTATCACATTAAAAGTAGGCTAAGATATAGGAAACAAGAGAGCATTACATCAGGAACCTGTTTCATAATTAAAGACATTCATTCAGATAAGTTATTTCTTGGTTACCATTTTTAACACATTATTT